TGACCAGTTGAGTTTCTACTCACACCTTTTGAATAGCTTTCTTTGAGTGAGTGAGTGAGTACTAGTCATAGCAACTAACACTTTCAACATGGGTGGGTAATTAAAAAAAATAAAAATAAATGTGACTTCAACATCAGTTGCTAAGGTTGATCTACTCTAGAAACTTGTTATTAAAGTGGTCGTTATTATTATGATTATTAATAGTAGTAGTAGGAATGATGGAGCCACTTACGTCACCCTTCTTGTTGTCCATCTTCACACCGATTACGTAACACACTGAGAGTGTATTTGAAGTAACAAGATACAGAGTACGATTTGTACCATTCATTATTGTAGAAACTAGTTGGGAGAAGACACTCCCCCCCCACCACCACATATGGAAACACACACGTGCGTGCTAGTGAACACAGAAACTATAAATAGTCGAAAATACCAAAGTGATAAAAAACTGAAAGAATAGCGATTATGTGCGTTTGTGTGATGTGGGCGTGGGCGTAGGTGAGTTGATGTTGAGGGGACATCATTGTTTCTATATGAGTAAATGTTACAACAACAACAACGAAAACAACAACTGTAATTTTCACTTTTAATTTGATTTTCTTTCATGTTACTATGGCATTTATATCTTATGGAAAAATAATTATTATTTGTGGAGTTTTGGTTTTTTTTTTTGAGGAGTGAAAGTGACACGTGTCTCTTAGGCGATTTGATTTTTACTTTTTTGTCAATAAGAGTTGGTGACACTAATTATTGTCAATGGGTAATTACGTCATAGTGTCTGAAGGCGCTACACTTAAGACCTTGGTAACATTAAATAAATTGAGGGATGAACTCAAACGAAAGATTCAACTAGACTTCATTAGCACTTGGTAACATGAAGAGAATCAATGTGAATAATGACTACTGGATTAATATTTCATCCTAATTTGAGACTGGTCAAGAGGATGCGCTCATGATCTCACCAGAAATTGATGGCAGAACCTTCAGGTTATGAGGTGAACACAGTTTCAATTTGATAAAGAATGGTGGTATACTTGCCTTGTGGGTTCGATCCTTGATGGCATCCTCAGCGTATCTTGCTGAAGAGTCCCAGATCAGGACGAAACAGCCATGCTATAATTTTGGTTTTTCAAAGATTCTTCAACTGTTTGTCAGTTGGTAAATGAGACTGAACTGCAATTTTCTTATTATTCAGTCGAATGGTTCCTAGAGGAAGGAATACCGATTCAAGGTATCATACTTCGAAAGATCAGAGGATTACATGCTACATAGTTTTGCATCGTATGCACATCGTTATATCATTCATTACATGCATGTTCGTGTGCATTTTCATGTGATATGTTAAACAACTATCGTTCGAATTGATTATCATCTCTGGCAACAAAGATGTGACTTAAGCTGGCTAAAGCACTCGGGCTTTCGGTCACTAGGTCTTGGATTCGAAACCAGTCCTTCCCGCCCCCCCCCCCAAAATACAACAGCCTGGACAACTGGACATCGAGCATGATTCCACACAGTATTTTTGGTACAAGTATGGAATTTTCAGCATGTGATATCGATAGCCCAAATTTTGCAGGCCGACCACTGAAATCAGATGTGTGTTGGCAGGGGACCATATGTATGGTTGGCAAGAGTCCTAACCTCTGTGGCACCTACGCACAATTCAAGCAAATATTTCCAGTTGTTGAGTTTAATACGTCTCCATGGATCTTTAAAGTTTACAATAGTTCTACCAATTGATGATATCGGCTCATGATGCTAACAGACTTCAGATACAATATTAATAGTTACGTCATAATATATATGATTAAATGAAGAGGCCTGTTTAAATCGCTGGGCGGGCTACCGAAATTTTCTATCCATCACAGCGCATCGTGTTTACTACGTCTCACCTATTGTTTTTATCATCTAATTATCATAATGCATCTCACACAGTTCTCATTCGCTCACTATTTCAAATAAGATTCTGTACATGGAGTAAATATCTTGTAATAAACCTCAATGAAAATCCAGTATTGTATGTAAAAGCATTTTTCAAAAATTTAGAAGCCATTATTCCATATTACACCGGTGATGTAATATTAACAACTGGATGCCAAGGTTTCAAGCATAAATTATTGCCACTCATAATCATATCAATTTTAGTCCCACGGTTTCATAATTTCTCTTATATTTGTATATTTTTGGTTGGGGGATTTTATCATGAGCTGATATCAGTTAGAGAACCATTGGAAAACCAACAGGGAGCACTGAACAGCCAGTTGTTTCGCCCTATTTTGAGACTCTTCATCGGTATAATTATATTCTCTCTCTATTCTGTCTCTTCAACTTTCTTTTGTTGTTTGTTGCCAGTATAGGCATTGCGTCATTCCGATTGCATGTGTGACGTGCTGAATAGGTAAACAAAGTTTCAGTCGGTAAATAACCTCTCTCTGCCTCCGTCTAACTGTATTACTTTTTAATACTCTCACGCTGTCCCACCCAGCCTATTTTGTGATGATTACATGCAAGTGAATGCAATGCGATGGATTATTTAACTAACTTAGCAGGGTCAATTATTCTAGGTCTAGTTAAATTTTTATGTTCCAATAATCTAGTTGACCCCGCTCACATTTATTACATGGTGTTGGGTAAATTTTATTATTTCCACTTCATTGGATCTATTGGGTCCTGAAGCCAACAGAGTTTATCTCTGAGAAAGTTGGTTGGTTTAAGTGCCACCGCGACTAATTCCAGCGTCATTGAAGATTCTACCTAAGTCCTCTGACATCCCTTCTTTATACGGCAGTGCTACAGAGAAGCTTTGAATTCTATATACGTTGTTTTCGTCATTTTTATCGCTTATCTTAGTTTTTCTATGATTCTTCAGATATTGGTGGGTAGTTAGTTATTCACCAGTAATATTTCCTTTATTTGTTTGATTTTGTAATTTAAATCCTCTGACTTATTAGTTAGACTCTTGGCCTGCCCGATTTTATCAGACATTTAACTATAAACCTGTCTTACTTAATTACCGATTCTGGAGGGTATGAATTAAAGTCTAAGTGAGCTGACATCAGTTAGAGAACCACTGGAAAACCTGAGAGTACTGGACAGTCAGCCGTTTCGTCCCAGTTTGGGACTCTTCGTCAGTACGCATCCACCGGGGTTCGAACCCAGGATCTTCTGGTTACAAGGCTAGCGAGCTCATAGACTATTAAGCCACTCTCTGGGACCCGATCCAATGGCCAGCCTATGAATTCGAACATCTGCCAATTCATGACATGGCGCGACCATTTCGCAACGTCTTCTTCGATGAGTTACTACCTCCCAGGTTTTCCAGTGGTTCTCTAACTGATGTCAGCTCATGATGAAATCCTCCATGCAATCAAACAAAATCCCTACAAAACCAATACTTAAAGTCTAAGTATTTATCAGTGTTTGTGTGTCGGTTACTTATATATATGCTAGGATTTAACCCCCACTATACCATCCCTATACGGGAGATATGGAAAGTGGCAACAAACAGTAAAAGGCAAGTTGGAGGGAAAGAGAGAAAATATGGATGAGACAAATTGTGAAGACGTTATTGTGGTGGTATGATACAGAAAATGTGTGCTGCAACGGAATATGATTCTCACAGTTCCCACAGTTTAATACGAACGGCAGTGGCAATAGAATACGATACGAGGCGTCGGTAGCACAGTGGTTAGGACTCTCGCCGACCATGCACATGGTCCGGGGTTCGATCCCCTGCCGACGCACACCTGATATCTATGGTCGGCCTGCAAAATTTGGGCTACCGATATCCATGCTGAAAATGCCATGCTTGTACTGAAAATACGGTGTGTCATCAAGCTGTAATCAAAAATAAAAAAGAAGATAAAATAAAAGATATATCTATTTGAGCATTCTGTTTGTTGATAGAGAATATTATTCTCACAGTTGAATACTGCGTTAGCAACAGGATATTATTTTTTTCCCTTCACGTTCCCCAGTGGAACATAGGGCTTCAAGCTAGTGGCTTGAAGTTTCTGTAGCAGTGTTTATTTTACAGGATGGGATTGCTAGCCTCATGCCCAACCTTTCCTCGTTACCAGAATTATTTCTGGCTCAGTGAGGTAAACGAGTGCGTTGGCCGGAGATCGAACCCCGAACCATGTGCATGGTCGGCGAACATCCTAGCCGCTGTACCACCGACGCACAGAATGCTATACTATATGTGTATTTGAACATTCTATTTCATCTCGTTTAATTTAAACCAAAATCACATACTCAATGATTGGTTAGAGAATATAAAACTGTATAGATTTAAATAGGGGTTTGATCACTTTAAGATATACCTTGGCTTTCGTGTCTTACCTTCTGTTGTTACAGCATGACTAAACTGATATGATTATGAGCACGAGTGAATTCTGTTCGAAACCTTGTCATCGAGTTGTCAATATGACAGCATCATTGTGTGATATTTAAAATTAACTTATCTAATATGGAATTACATCCTACCACAGAGCCCAAGTTCTATACTTACATTAAAGCCATTACTATTATTATTACTATAAAATTTCTTAAATATTCAAACTTTGCAGTATACATATAGATGTACTTGCATTATTCCGCAGTGAGTGATGATTTTCCCACCGTGGCTCGAACCCAGCGCCCATAGTCCCAAAGAGGACGAAGTGCGCTTTATCCTGGATTCCAAGCACTGCTAGTCACCATCCACCAATTAACTTCTAATTATATGCCCAGACATCGTCGAAGCATGTGCACAAGGAGCCAACAGACATGTCAACCTGAGAGCGAGCACTTCGGTCCAATCAATCGATGGGAAAATCTAAAATTGAATTAAGTATACAGTATACAGTTTAGTTAATATTACGATCTTTTTCTCAAGGGTGGAACCTCTTCAGTGTGTTGTCGACATCTGTTATGTTATTAAGCGAAATTTATGCCTATGATTCCTGTATTTATTTTAGTTTTTTTAATATTCCTCTCCCTCCTCCCCACCCCACTCCTAGATGCGAACCAGAGTACCACCTACACTTCAGGTGAAGTTCACCCCGAAAAACTGCAGCAATGTACAGAAGGAATAGCTAACAGCATCACCGATGCTGAGCAGTCTTCAAAACTCCACTCTGAAGAAATTGTTGACACTGTAAACGGTACAAATAAGTCAACGAAGCTAGAAGTCCGACAGCCTGCCAGTCCATCAATCGACTTAACACATGACAATGTCAAAAGTTCAATCAATAGTACATCACATGACAGTGGATTGGGCAATTCAGGGCATATTAATATGAATCTAACAAATATCGATTCTTTCAATAAAGATACTTCTTACAGTAGTAGTACTGTGGTGAATCATAATAATACTATTTGTAGTAATAGTATGAGTAATACACGACAAGAAGAATCTATTCATGAGTTGGCTTTAGATTTAACTGTCAACAGAATACCTGATCATAACTCAGTCGGTGGCAAGTCTGGATCTCCTGAAGATAGGAACGCGTTGAATCGACGAGATATTACGCAAAATCACTTTTATCCCCCTCCTCCCTCTTATCATCAACATCATCAGTACCATAACTATCTCAAAGGAATGACAAGAGATCAAATCCACTCATCAACAGGTACCATGGCAACAACAGTAGCCATGACTACTGTCACTAACTCGATTGATTCTTATGCAAAAAGCGGATCTATTGAGCCTTCGACTGCTAGTACTGCTGCTATCAACAGTGATATTTGCCATGATTTACCCTTGTCGTCATTGTATCCCTATCAACAAATGCAAACATCTTATCCAACCAAATCAATGGATTTGTTTACAGCTGCTGCTGCTGCCTATGCAGCTGCGTCTTTAGGACAACCATTTCGTAATGAAGATCACAAAAGTACTATCGGTACTAGTGGTACTCTATCCTCACCTCTTCCGCTTACTACGCCTATGAATCATATTCCACAAATGAATTCTTCAATTTATCCACCACATCAACTACTTAATACAAATATAAGTAGTATTAGTAGTAGTACTGGTAATAATTGTAGTAATGATGAAATGAATCAAACATTAAGCCAATTTCCAGCCTTTCTTCATTCAGCAATAATGACAATGATGAAAAATGCAAAGTTACCACATCCAGATGACAGTTATGCCTCGAAAGCATTCATGTCACCGTATTCACAAACACTTTTATCGATTTTTAATCATTCAAATTATAATTGGCCACCGAAATCATCTACACCTGTACCAGATGATCTAAGCAGTAACACTATGAGGAATAATGATCGCAATAACGATAATAATAATAACAGTAATAATAATTATGACAATGAGGCATTGTGTAGACTTCAACAGTCCTACTGTCCTCCGCCGAATTTACCTGTTCCTGGAGCTTTATACAACCACAACCATCTGCAACAACAACAACAACAACAACAGCAGCAACCCCAAGAACAACAAATTCATCCTTATGACTATCATCGTCAACATTATCCACTCCAGTTGGGCATGAACTCAGAGAACATTGATGAAGACTATTTGATGAATGAAGAGAATATTGATGATGAAATGCCCCCACTGGCATCATCACCAAGATCTTCATCATCACCATTCCCTCCACCGACTGTGGTACCAAATTCCAGCGAAGGTGAACATAAAATGAATTCAAAAGAAAAGTCCTCGACATCTCAAAACCATCAACAGTCTACAACACGATCATCACGTCCATCTGAAGATTATCTGGAGCAGTTTATGAAAATTGATCAAACACAAAATATTCTATGGCGTCAGTTAGCTGATCGATTTCAGCGTACACTTGGGCCAAATCAATGTGGGGTTTGTAATAAAGTGTTGAGTTGTCGTAGTGCGTTGACAATGCATTATCGTGTACATACAGGTGAGTGATACCATATATATTTTTATCATATTTATGAAATAAATTCTAAACTGTCATTCTGTAGAACTCAATTCCCCGGAGTAAGTTTCTCATATACCAGACTTTTCAAATGAAACGTTGAGGTTCAAATTCCAAGCTTTGAAGTTTCAGTAGCAGTGGTGTTGTATGTGCTTACAGGGCGGGGTTACTGGTCTCACTCCCAATCTCCCTCTTTTTCCGGGGGGAGGGGACTACCAGTATGTCCATCTTTCAGGAATCGAAACTGGTTTCTATCCATGGGTGGTTGACAAGTATCCTGCCAGTGAATCGCTGATACACAATGTATCAGACTTTGTACGGATAGCTCAGGTTGAAACAGGCGAAACAGGATTCGAACCCAGGACGTATTGGCTCAAAGTTGAGTACTTAAGACTCGACTATGATTTCTGTGGGTAGTTTATTCATACTAAACATTTCAGTATTGATTTGAAGACAAATCGATATTATCAAGTGTTGGTTTTGTAGGGATTTGATTGATCACAGATTTGATGACGAGCTGACTGACATCAGTTGGGGAACCATTGGAAAACCAGGAGGCGGTACTGGACAGCCAGCTGTTCCGTCAGCCTAGTTTTGGAGTCATCATCAGTGGGCACCCACATAACGTGGGGTTCGAACCCAAGATCTACCTTCTGGTTACAAGGCAAGACATTCGGTTACTGGAACCCGATTCATTGGTCAGCCCATGAATTCCGACTACTGCCGATTATATATATATATATATATATATATATATATATATATATATATATATATATAGACTAACAGTCAGCCAATGTCATAGGCAAGTGACTGGCCTCTTACCTGACTTAGTGGACCCCGCTGGCTACGATTTCACTTGCGGAAGAGATGAAGTTGAAATAAAAGTCTACTTGAGGTTAGACGGTCGACTGATGGATTTGTCAACTTGAAAAAATTTCTTTCTCGCAATAGTAGTCAATTTAAAATAAGCAACAATCACTGTGAATTCATATGATGAACTTGTAGATAGGTCGATTTACAGAAAGTCAACTTTGACGGAACAATTCGTACATTTCAACGGCTTCCTCCCATATTCATTAAAAAAGGAGTTCAGTTAGAACATTATTTGATAGAGTAATAAGGATATTTTTAAGTATTGGTTTTGTGGGGATTTTGTTTCATTGGTTGGGGGATTTCATCATGAGCTGACATCATTTAGAGAGAGAACCATTGGAAAACCAACTAGGAGTACTGAACAACCAACTGTTTCGTCAAACTAGTTTGGGACTCTGCTTCAGCAGTACGCACACACACCGCTAGGGTTCGAACCCAGGACCTTCTGGCTACAAGGCCAGTGAGCCACTTGAACCCCATCCAGTGGCTAGTCCAGGAATTCTAATTTCTGCCAATTCATGCACGACATAGCGCGACCACTTCGCAATGTCTTCTTCGATGAGTAACTGCCCTCACTTTCGACCTGCTGTACCCTACTGATCGCAGCTCCCCAATGATGTCAACTCATGATGAAATCCTCCAACCAATCAAACAATATCCCTACAAGACCAATACTTAAAAATTGATCTGACGTCCACTAGCGATTGGCCCGATTCACGCAGTGACCTGGGGTTCTAGTGGAAAGTCTTGACCAGTAGGGTGCAGCGGGTTGAAGGTGAGACATAGCGAAGTGGACGCGCTATGTCGCGCATAAATTGGAAGAAGTTAGAATTCATGGGCTGGCCATTGGTTCGAGTCCCAGTGGCTTAATGACCTACGAGATCGATGGCCTTGGGATAGAACCACGGTGGGTGGGTGCGTACTGATGAGGAGTCCTAGGCTAGAATGAAACAGCTGTCAGTACCCGCAGCTAGTTTTCCAATGATCTTCTAACCGATGTCAGTTGATGATGAAATCCTCGAAGCAACCAAACAAAAAAGGATCCCCAATATTATTCACTTTAATAATGACGTAAACAGATTATTATTCACCCATCTTTTATAGATTGTATCTTTGTTCAAAATTTAAATTTGAATTTTAAACCATAATGGTGATAATTCAAGGTAGTATTTCTTTCTTTCTTTCTTTATCCCCATTTACAGAAGAACGTCCTTTTGTGTGTATTATTTGTGATAAACGATTTTCAACGAAAGGCAATTTAAAAACCCATTTAGGGGTAAGTTATTATTATTATTGATTTTTATTGTTATTCGACTGATAGCTGCTACCTTGACTTGGTGGTCTAACTTGTAGATCGTAATGACCAAAAGAGTTACACTGACTGAGACAAATGTGTTCTTCAGGTCCTACCATACCATGAAGGTCGTTTGAATAGCAGTCAGACTAAAAGTCGCTGAGCCTATATTAGTGGTCTGTGGACTAAGTCGCACTTTTGGCGAATAGTGATATAACGGCAGTTAGATGTCTACCCCAAATGAACAGCAAACTACCTCTCAGCTCTTTAGATGGCGGGGGTAGAATGTCAATCCTGAAAATTGTTCACTAGTCCGTTGTCGACAATGAGGTCTTAATACAGATACAACTCCAAAAATTACTTCAGTTTTTCTATTGATTTATGAATAATTGGTTATTGTTGGATGTCAGAAGTCGATCGATCGATAAATCTGGACTTAGTTTTTGTGTGTATTGCCAACTAGTAATACTACTAAGACGTATCTGTATCCTTGAAGGGTAGGGGGTATAAATATATTACCACAGCGTAGAATATGGGTCATGGAATGCAAGAAAACTAGATCCACACACAATTCCTACTGCGTCTTACATGATTTCAAGTCAATTTTCATTACCAAACTGACTTCTGCTTAAAAACTGTGTTGAAGAGTACTGCACAACGTCAATGTTCTTTTAGTGTTGATATGAGAAGCACATTGGATGTTCATAGGCAAAATATCCAACTACTTCTGAACGCCCATGTCCTATAAAAAGCGAACTTACTCTCCGTCAACTGACTAATTATTATTGATTGGTGTTTTCTCTAAATACCACTTGATGAAACCAAATAAAGGAGGGGAGAGGGAGGGAATCTCACTTACCTAAGAGGATATAAAGAAAGACGTTCATGCGTGTATAGTACTCAACCATACTGAATGATTATTAGCTATAGTTTGCAATAGATATCAAAATGCATAAGGACTTAGAAGTGTAGGTGGTCTGGCCAAATTATCAAGTGATAATCTAGTAATGTCAGGTATCCATACTTTGTTGCCGACTACAACTTTCTTGTCCAGTAGATATATATTATTAACTAACATGTCCTTCTATTTTCTTTGCCATTTTGTCTCATAGCAACACCATGAAACAATCGAAGCATATCGAACCGCAGTGGCTATAGCAATGGCTACAGGTGGTACACTGCCTCGACCTCCACCAATGTCCTCGTCTACAACAGTTTCACACGGGAATCCTGTCTCTTTACCATCGATTGTTACTTCGATAGCTGAGCATATTCCAGTCCCCACCTCTACCTCCACAACATCCTCACTGGTGTCTGCCTCAGTATCATCCTCATCATCTACAACAAACTCATTACTATCCTCACCAAAATCACAGTCAAATTATCCAGATTTCATGAAAATTAATCCCTTGGATACGTCATCCAATATACTAAATCAGAATACATTTCCATTGCCATGGTTACCAACAGGATTGAGCTCAAACTCACCTGTATTCAATTTTCAACCAAGACTAGATTCAAATGCGCTTGATCAAAGAAGGATTACTGGTAAAGAAGAGGAAGAAGAAAAAGACAATTATAATTACTATAATCCATATGCCAATATTGACCAATCAGAATTGACGAAAATCTCCACCAATCAAATTCCAAGATGTCATAATAACGAAAATCATCCTAATGAAGATGACGGTAATGCTGTTGCCGAAGCTAACGATGATGATGATGACGTTGATGACGATGAATCTATATTATCAGATATAAGACCAAATTATCGAATGAATCAGCAATCCCCAGGACCGCTTAACTATGGGCGTGAGACACCAGCTTTGTTGAATGGTGTCAACACATCCTCGCCATCTTCAACAAGTCTGTCTAACACATTCACTTCACAATCTACTCATATCTCATCTTCTGCTATTAAAAAAGATTTATTCCTTGAATATACATCATCAAATAAATTTTTATCAGTTGCTAACTGTCTGTAAATTCCACCCAGCGATACACCCACGCACTCACTCCCTACCTACCTCCCCTCTGTTATTTTTCTTTCATTGAAGAGGGATTTTTTTCATTATTTGTTTCCGTCATTTCTTTTTTCTCTCGTATTCTTTCGCTTGCCTCATTTATACCTAAATAATATGCTATTAGTAAGTGTGTCAGTCTGCGCAATGTTCCCCTATCGCCGCCTATATCCCCTCCCCGTCACGTGCTTCTAATTGTCCGGATATGAAAGGAAGTCAACATTCCCATCACACACACTCACAAACAGAGATAAATCTTATTCACCTGTAATAAAATAGATATTCTTAATATGTATAAACAGTGGTAATGACAATTTATTGTTTGAATTTTTCCACTCGTTCATTCATTCATCAATTTACCCGCCAAAAAACTTGATCATTTAAAACAAACAAAAATGTGTGTAGAGATATTGAATGTAAAAAGAGTACTTCATGCATACATACATACACTAGCTATATATCAATTACTAATAAACAATACATAAGTATTCAATTTTCAATTGAAGAAAAATAAATTTCTTTTCTCTCATTTTTATTCATCATATTAAATTATGTTTCTATATATATTTGCATATTATATACATAAACATATATACAAAATCTATGTATGCGCATTATTCTATTCAGTATTATAGTAGAATATACACAAGCTGAGAAATCGAGAATTTATTTTGAATTTGGCAGTCAATTATAAATGGATAGGAGACTTGGTGTAACACTAGGGCCGACGACTTCCTCACTTTGTTTAAAGTTCGTTTAATATTTCGCGCGGGTGAATAATAAATAGTTCATCCCACTATCGATGCCCTCTACTTCCCTATCTCACTTACTTATTAGGCCTAATTCTGGTTCGATAACTAGGGTGATAACCTTGAGCAGGAAGTAGCTTCTACTTCGAGATGTTCGGCATCCGCTCACGTGTCGGATCCTAGTATGGACGCTTCAATGAGGTCTAAGGATTAACGTGAAATTATTACGGCTGTTCCCTTGGGTTCCGAGTGGAACATATGGGCTTCAGCAGTACGTCTGGCCCCACAGTCTGTGATCTCCTCCTCGCAGGATCTCCTACATGTCACGCTCGAACTGACGCCCCATTCGTTGCTGTGTCATTCGACGGTCTCCTCAGCGTATCTGATCCATCCCCGTTTTCTTCGGATTATTTGCTGGGCAGTAGGCATTTGGTTGCAGATGCCTGGCACTTTCGTGTTTGTGGCTGTCGCCTGGATGACTGGAGTAGATTACTGACTCACCAGTTGACAATTTTGACAGTCCATCTCCATTCCACCTGCTATGGCAGATTTCGAACACTTCTGATTTCTTCAGCTACCTGGGCGGCCTTACCAGCGGGTACATTGTACGAACATTCCACGTCTCCATGCTTATTTTTGCTTTCATCGAAAGAAGACACATTGGCTGTCTGATGTCATTCTGTCTATCATAATCCAGAATTGAAGTTTTTGTAGCAGTTTGTTTGATTTTCCGGGGTAGGACTGCTAGCCACCATGCCCGACCCTCCTCCTTTTCTTGGGGCTTGTGACTGGTTAAAACACCAGTGAACTAATGAACTAGGCGAGGTTGGTTTTGTAATGACTACCAATGTAATCTGAGATGGTCATTTTGTGCGCTTTCGAGACTTGTCAGCTGGATGCCCCTGCGTTCCAAATGACTGATGATGATGTCCCCAGTGAGACTCGAATACTGTATCCATAGATGAATTATCTAGATTGGGCGCCGCGATATGTCAACATCGACTGAGGATTTCGGTCAAAAAAATCAAATTACCCCAAAAACAAATAATGATGGATAGCTGTTGCATAAGAGGTGACTGTCGTAGCCTTCGTGGCAAGGCAGACAGTAATTTGACGTTTAAAACGATGGGAGTGAGGTTCCAGGCTCAGTTGGAACATCATCACAGACTGAAGGGTAGGTATATCTAGCCAACTCCACCACTAATCACTTCTAGCCGAGATCACTTATCATTCATTCAAATTAAAACAAGATATCTTGCTCCACTTAAGTTTCGCCCTTGTTAGCACTCATCAATGGAACATATCTGTTGCCATAGGGATACTTATCCTTTTCAATAGACTTCAACTCATGTCATTCAGTTTCAACATAATCGTCTTTGTCGTAAGGTAGGTAGTTCAGCCTAACGATTAACTACCGTCCGAATAATTCGTACAGACGAATTACTGGTGCGGTGGTATAGTAACCAATGCCTGTGACGAAAACACACGCACACATTGAGGAAGTCTGATTTTGAGGAAGAAATTCACCTGGACAATTATGGATACCAGTGAACTGAGGAGATGAAGAGAATTACGAAATTCAAGATCAATTCAAGTATTGGTTTGTAGGGATTTTGTTTCATTGGTTGGAGGATTTCATCATGAGCTGACATCAGTTAGAGAACCATTGGAAAACCAGGTGGGAGTACTGGACAGACTAGTTGGGTACTCTGCTTCAGCAGCACGCACCCACCCACCTGGGTTAGAACCCAGGAACTTCTGATTACAAGGCAAGCGAGCTCGTATACCATTAAGCCACTGGGACCTGATCCAGTGGTCACTGGTCACTGCCTGAATAGGGCGAGTTGCTAGTGAGCATCTCATTGATGTAGGTAATTACCTGGGTTTCTATTGGGAAGTCGTGATCAGTAGGGTGAGTTGGTCGGGTGTGAGGAAAAGTACTCACCGAAGACACTGACTAGCTGTCGAGCTATGTCGTGAATTGGCAGAAGTTGGAATTCATGGTTTGCCCATTGGATCGGGTCCCAGTGGCTTAACGGTCTACGAGTCTGCTGACTTTGTAACCAGAATGTCCTCGGTTTGAACTCCGCGGTTTGGGTATGTACTGATGAGTAGTCGCAAACTAGGGTGGAGGAAACAGCTGTCTGGCAGTACTCCCAGTTGATTTTCCAATGATTCTCTAACCAATGTCAGCCCATGATGAAATCCTGTAAGCAATCAATTAAATTCCTACAAACCAATACTTGAATTGATCTTAAATTCCGTAATTATCTTCATCCCCTCAGTCTAATTAGTATCCATAGTTTTCAAGGTGAGTTTCTTCCTCAAAATCAGACTTCCTCAGTGTGCGTATGTGACACACACACAGAGAGAAAGGTATTCACAAACGATTATATCTTAACCAACTCAGTTAAGTCAATTCAAATAGACGTAAATGCTGAAATCTGAGGTTATATGGTTGATCCTTATATACTTGGTGCGATAAATATCTAAATTCTCTTGAAATACTTTTAATACACTACCCCACTATTACTCATCTTCTGGTAGAATGGAATGAACGGAAGTGTTCAAGCTTTTAAGTCTCATTAGCGAAGAGGTTGGCTATCTCACGCTAAATCTTCTCTCTTTTCTTCCCTATTTACTATCGGCTAGGAAACTAGGCAAGGTATAAGGATGCATCTATGGAGAATCGAAACCGGACTAGAAGGATGGTGGTTGGTGAGCATTTTACTGCCGAACCACAGATGTAATAAACCAACGAAGTAGAAACGGGGAATGACACGTTGGGCGTTTCGAGTGTGACGTAGAAGAAATCGTCTGGGCATGAAATAAAGGCTTATGGGAAGCCAGCTAAAACGGACTGTAGGGAACAGAACACAGTGAAATGCAGATGCCCTGATGTAGTCCTACGCTACACTCAGAACCTCACAGAACAGTAATATTAGAGATATTTAGATTAGGTGTTTTCTAAGCGAATCAACATCAGTCAGAGAATTCTTGAAAATCATACAGTGGATTGGACAGCTGTTTCGTATTCATTTGCTGCCGAAAATGACACACCCGAGCCAGGGATGTATCACGAAATCTTCAGATCACGAGGTCAAGCTTGCTGAATGTTCAGCCTCTTACTTTGGGGAAATCTAATTTCATTGTTTCATGATATGGCACCATCACCACCACCACCAACAACAACAACATCAACCAGTATCATCGAGGAGCATCCATTTCATCTTGGCAGGATGATGTAGGGCGGTTCGATATGCACTATATAAGTGAGGAAAAGAAGCATTAGACAAGAATTTCAAGAATAAAAATAATTGAGCAAAGAATACCCTTTTCCATAATTTCCTCGTCCAGCTCCACAATTAGATATATCTGTATGTTTATATTCATAGAATATTCTAGAGTAATCGTCATTAACAATACTGGCGTTTCTTAAATACTATCGATTTGTTAAGATCAGTGGAATCGCAGTTCAAGAAAGACGCTGAAGTTATAATAAGCATAAAAATGTAATAGTAAATAGAATGAATATCAAATGAAGTCAAGGAAATTTCTACAATGACAAATTAAAGATCCTTAAAAACATGATTGACGTCTAAGGTAAGGAAAGTGTCTGAACCAACATCTTCTTCTGGATATATAAGTTAGGTTTCTCAATGTAGATCCCAACAGCTAGCCTCAGAAATATGTAGTAGACGAACTCTTGAATTAGGTAAAGTTAGGATTAGTTGATATACCGTAGACGACTTTGAAAGACTCCTTGTTTACATCAATTTTGTATTCTGTATCCATGAGATGCGACAGTATCGAACTATGAATGGACTATGTTTTTCCCTTACTTAACTCCTAAGCAGCATGGTGTTCGAAAATTCGACGATAAACACGCCTAATTGCACGGCCTAAGCAGCTAACTAGCTCCACAGGAGCAGTCAAATTGGTACATACACATAGAAATCTTTAATTTCCGAACGTAAAATACGGGTGGTTTTTAAGACATAGCATAATTCAATAGCATTGAATGCTCTTTTTTTACCACATTCTTTAGGCGTTATGTTAACATCTCACTGGTGTTATCCCCGAGGAACTGAAGTTCATCTCATCTTTTGGATACAGAACACAAGGTTGATGTCAACGAGACGGCTTTCAAAGTCATTTACAGCATACCAACAAATCTTAACTTCGCCTTAAGAGTTCGTCTAGTACATATTGCTGAGGCTGGCTATTGGGATCCATATTAAGAAGCCTAATTTATGTGTCCAAAGGAAGCTAGTTCAGACATTGTCCTTACCTTGGCCATCTAGGTTAGAGTGATCCTCGATATTATTTATAAAACACTAATATTGTTATTGACTACTAATCTAGTATATTCTATGTATATAAACATATGCATATAATTGTAGAGTCAGAAGAGGAGGAAATTATCGAAAAGGATATTCTTTGCTAAATTTTTTTTGTTTTTTTCTAAATTAAGAAGACAATATTCAGCGAAGAGACTCTTTCCAACGAATTTATTATC